TTTCTTTCTTTCTTTCTTTCTTTCTTTCTTTCTTTCTTTCTTTCTTTCTTTCTTTCTTTCTTTCTGTCTTTCTTTCTGTCTTTCTTTCTTTCTTTCTTTTTCCTTTCCACCCTTCTTTCTCTTTGCTTCTACATTAAATTTTACTTTCCTCCCGCCCCTATCCACCCTCTCCGCCTCCTCCCCCCCCTAACCTACGACCTCCAATTTCGAATGAATCAAAGCAAATATCTAGTCTGAAGTCTGGAGATTGGATATGTGTAGATTACGCCGATTATATCTATTGTTGGCTACTTTTTTCCTTTTCAGATTAGATTTGGATCAGAAAAAAGATACCTTAAAAAATGATAAAAGATAAATATATTATTCAAAAAGTTTTGGCCGACTCTTTCGTTACGACACTTTTCGTTGAAGCGTTTAAGTCTCCATAAATTGACATTTTTTTCTACAAATTTTTGTTTAGTTCCTTAAAGACATAAATTTTTGTTTTCCAAATGATAAATTCTCTAATCTTTCTAATTAAAATGAATTAGAATTATTAAAAAGGTTAATTCACATTAATTTGTATACGATACTGTTCTCTGAACCGTTTGTCTCTACTTAATTTTTTTCTTCATTTATTTCATTAATTTCACAAAATTAATGTTTTTAAGATACTATTGAAGTTAAATTTAATTTAGTAATGGATTCATTTAAAGGAATGTAGGAGAAGGTCCTATTCACAACTGTACCCTTGAAGCCTTATAGGGAGTGTTCGCGAAAAAATGAAGGGGGATAGGCGTATAACGAAAAATCATCGATTATGAAATATCAACTGAATGATTTGTTTGGAATTAAATTGATTTATTTACGGTCCGAGTCCAATGTTGCAAGTTTCTGAATTATTATGGACGCTACGTTCTTCGGTATGAGTCGTTTTTAACAAATTTCTTCTTATAGACGCATTAGGTAGAAGTAAGATTAGTACCGATCACCATCGATGATTTTTCGCCGTAAGCTTATACCCCCTTTCATTTATCCCGAACACTACCTTTAATCTGATCAATTATGTAAAAGATTACGTTGTTCAAATAGCTTGAGAAGAGTCTGAATTTGACAAATTCCAATTAGTTCTGCAGCAAGCAATGCCCATGTCTCTTTTCATAGAAACCACAAACGAAAATAAACAGTTTTCAAAAACAAAAACATGGATATCTAATTCTGCTTGATCAGCCAACGCTTGTAAGAGTACCGGCTGTGCATCGGACCTCTCACTCTAACAAAAATTCATGTTTTACGATACTGTTCTCTTACCCGTTCAAGTTTCCTCCTTATATCTTATTCATCCCTCCAACTATTCATTGATATGATTTTATCTGTATTCACTTCAGTCTTGCACTCCAGACTATTGTGAAGTGTATAACTTCTGTTTAAGGGATAGACAACAGAGAAATCAAGACACTCAGCGCCACATTTGAAAACTTCTTCATTGATACAAATACGTTGCTCAAACTTAGATAAATCTATTGAATTTTAGAGTGCTAGGATCCATTTCCCATAGAAGTTTATAATCACTTTTTAAGATTCGCCATAAGTAATATTAATAATTTAACAATGTTTATTGCTAACAGCTATATTATTATACAGCCTAGAGGCTCATGAGACATTTAAAGCTGGACAGAGGAGGAATGTACGTAATATTTGAGCGCTATCCCTGTTATGACTTTGTGACCTCGTAGCTCCTCTAGTTTTGATTTTTCACACAAGTTTGAGAAAAATAAAAATATATTTATCGTCGTCCTACAGTCCTCCAATTTCTAAATTCAAAACATTTTTGTTCTTTTCAAATAGCTCTTTAGTTATGGAGGAGTCATGGTTGACAATAGATGAACTTTTATTTAACGCGGAGTCTTAAGCCCGGCATTTAACTCGTTAAATATAAAAGTAACAGGGTTACCCACAAAGTACGATCTAAAGGTATAATTTGTTTTGAAACAGGTTTCCAGAAAATTAAAAAAATGAACTGAATAAATTCGTCCCTGTATACCGGGTTACTTTGCAAGTAACCCGGTATACAGGTTGAATTTGGAAATAAGTCTTAACTATAAGAGAAAAGAATGACAGCATTCCGTACAGTCGTCTCTAGAGTATCGTCCTTTGTGGTTAACCCTGTGTTTGCTAACCCTGTTCCTGCTAACCCTGCGTCTGCTAACCCTGTGTCTGCTAACCCTGTGTCTGCTAACCCTGTTTCTGCTAACCCTGTGTCTGCTAACCCTGTGTCTGCAAACCCTGTGTCTGCTAACCCTGTGTCTGCTAACCCTGTTTCTGCTAACCCTGTTTCTGCTAACCCTGTGTCTGCTATCCCTGTGTTTGCTAACCCTGTCTGCTAACCTTGTGTCTGCTAACCCTGTGTCTGCTAACCCTGTGTCTGCTAACACTGTTTCTGCTAACCCTGTGTCTGCTAACCCTGTGTCTGCTAACCCTGTGTCTGCTAACCCTGTGTCTGCTAACCCTGTGTCTGCTAACCCTGTGTCTGCTTGCTAACCCTGTCTGCTAACAAGATGTAAACCCTGTGTCTGCTAACCCAGTGTCTGCTAACAAGATGTAAACCCTAGGCCAAATATTACTGGATTAGGGCCGAGTAATCCTTGTTAATCCTAGCTAAATAAGAACCTAAGTAAATCAAGTATAAACTTTACTATGTATATTTGATTAGAAGAAGATAGGTAGATATATAGCAGATAGATAGATGGATAGATAGATAGATATTTTAAAAGATTTTTTCAGAAAATCATGTTTAAAGGCACTTTAAGCGTAATTTCAAATGACCATCAATGTAAAGATGGCAATGCCGGATTCACAACGGTACCATTGAAAGTTTTGTCTGATCAAGTATAAATTAATAATTAATCAATGTTTGTGTGCCTTTCATCTGGGGCTTTTCTGCGAAAGTGACTTGCGCATTTCTTGTCTATGAGAATCAATGGAGAAAATCACAGAAAAAAAAACACTTTAACAGTCAGAAAACGACGATATTTTCCACGTTTTTTCATCAGATAAGGTTTTAAGTGTATCGATAAAAATCGGGCATTGACATCTTTGCACCGCGGGTCACTTGAAATTACGTTTACAATCCCTTTTAGGCTTATTAAATCACGAATTTTATAATAAAAGTGCAGAGTGCTGGGAATGTACCTGGAGGTCACAGGGTGGGCTGGCCGGCGCACCATAAGTATCGACAGCTGGAGCAGCGGCCGGAGATCCGTAGCTGTCAACAGCTGGAGCAGCTGCCGGGGATCCATAGCTGTCAAGTTGTCTCTTTGCCAACTGAAAAAAAATAAAAATTACTTCCGCCCCTGGAATAGATAACTAACAGGGGAAATAATTAGTTGGTGGGTCACTCTAATCTCTAGCCGAGTCCATTAGCGCCTGATCCAATCAGGATTCAGTCATGTGTTTGGTGTCTATTCTGAACCAATAGAAATTGCATGGCGGTAAAATCTATCTTTCTATCTATCTCATTATCCAATTAGAGTTATGAATACTTCAATCGGCGCTATCAGTAAATGGAAATTTTTACTTTTACTGAAACTATGGTGAGAAGGGGGTGGGCGGTAAATCTTTTACTCATTAGAAGTACATTCATTGCTTCTAGATAACAATACATGATGAATAACAAGTGTATTAAAGGAGAGGAAGATGAGTAGGTCTTCTCTGGTTCCAGGTTCCGACGCTACTTGTTTGAGGATTTCATAATCCTTTTTCGGGGATTTCATACTCTGGAGAAGTCCCCCCAAAGTCTCGAGCATAAAGGGAGTCGAGACGTACTGATACATATATCCATGTAAGTGTTTACGGAAAAGTAGTAGAAGGAGTTCTGGTGATTGATCTTAATTCATAACTAGCTGTTTGTGAATTTCTAATCTGCCCCCTCCCAACGTCATGATCAACCTTCAGTAAGGTTGGCCAGTAGCCATTTAAAGATAACAGTTGTAGTGAAGGCTAGGTGGGCATAGATTCAACCTGCACAGAAATATGGTAGTGGAGTTACTTGTTAGCTCCAGAAGTAGCTGTGTAGCTAATTAGCTCCAGAAGTAGCTGTGTTGCTGATTAGTTTATGGAGAAGCTGAAATTTAGCTTATTAGCTCTTGGAGTAGCTGAGGTTTAGCTTATTAGCTCCAGGAGTAGTAGAGGTTAAGCTTATTAGCTCCAGGAGTAGCTGAGGTTTAGCTTATTGTCTCCAGGAATAGCTTAGGCTAAGCTTATTAGCTCCAGGAGCAGCTGAGGTTTAGCTTATTAGCTCCATGAGTAGCTAAGGTTAAGCTTATTAGCTAGCTGAGGTTTAGCTTATTAGCTCCAGGAGTAGCTGAGGTTAAGCTTATTAGCTCCAGGAGTTGCTAAGGTTTAGTTTTTTAGCTCCAGGAGTAGCTAAGGTTTAGCTTTTTAGCTCCAGGAGTAGCTGAGATTTAGCTTATTATCTCCAAGAGTAGCTGGGGTTTAGCATATTAGCTGTAGGAGTAGATAAGATTTAGCTTATTAGCTCCAGGAGTAGCTGGGGTTTAGCTTATTAGCTCCAGGAGCAGCTAAGGTTTAGTTTTTTAGCTCCAGGAGTAGCTAATGTTTAGCTTATTAGCTCAAGGAATGGTTTAGGTTTAGCTTTTTAGCTCCAGGAGTAGCTAAGGTTTAGCTTTTTAGCTCCAGGAGTAGCTGGGGTTTAGCCTATTAGCTCTAGGAGTAGATAAGATTTAGCTCATTAGCACCAGGAGTAGCTGGGGTTTAGCTTATTAGCTCCAGGAGTAGCTGAGGTTTAGCATATAGCTCCAAGAGTAGCTGAGGTTTAGCTTATTAGCTTCAGGAGTAGCAAAGGTTTAGCTTATTAGCTCCAGGAGTAACTGAGGTTTAGCTTATTTGCTCCAGGAATAGCTGAGATTTAGCTTATTAGCTTCAGGAGTAGCTAAAATTTAGCCTATTAGCTCCAGGAATAGCCGAGATTTACCTTATTAGCTCCAGGAGTAGCTGTGAGATTTTAAGATGAAGAAAGAGTAAATTCGTTGATAAAAAGTTTAAGCTTAAGATTACCATCCCTGTCCAATTCTTGAGCTGTTTCTGTCCAGGAGGCTGTGTTTTCAGCCATGGTTTGTTTATTGTCTGGGGTCACCACTTTATAAGTATATTTATTACTTCTAGATAACGATACATGATAAATAACAAATGTATTAAATGAGAGAAAGATGAGTAGGTCTTCTCTCTGGTTCCAAGATCCGACGCTACTGATTTTCGGATTTTATAATCCTCTTTCGGGGATTTTATACTCTACAACTCTTTGTTTATTTTTTTGTTTTTTACCTTGCCATAAAGTCTTGCAATTTCTGGTTTAGGTACTGCCTGAATCCAGCCGACTAGGCCTACCAGAACAATCTAGAATAAGCAGATGATCAATCAATCAATCGAGAAGAAAATAATCAATCAATCAACGAGAAGAAAACAAACAATCCATCAATCTAGAAGAAAACAGGCAATCAATTAATCCAAAAGAAAACAAGAAATCAATTAATCCAGAAGAAAACAGGCAATCAATCAATCGAGAAGAAAACAATTAATCAAGCATTAAAAAATTTAAATATAAATATATTTAACTTAAAGAATTCTTTATTATATTCATTTGTTTATAATTGTCTGCATAATAAATATAACAATATTTTTATGTTTTGTCTTTCA